CGAGTTACAGATTACTTCTTGAATCCATGCATTAGTGGGTTTTGTTTTTCTATTTTAGTTGATTATTCTGGAATTTATTTCAATGTGAAGAATGAGTTGGAAAGCCATCTTTAACTATATTTTCCTAAATTTTCAACTTTTTCTGAAATCTGTCTTAATTTCTGGATGCAATATTGACAAAAATACTTACCTGGAAAAAAAGATCATTAATTGTCTTTATAGTAAAACAGTTCTGATTTAGAAAGCAAATGGTAAATTAGATAAAATTCAGAAAAAGCAGTTATTTAAAGGAATTTGCAAGCAATCACAGTATTCTGAATTTACATAACTAAATAAAAACAAATTGAAGCTATTGCACCATCAGATTGTAATTCTGTAGACCAGAAACACTCACAATGTTATAAACAATGTTACCTCTGTAGATAAATTAATGGAACAGAAAGGAAAAAGTATAAAACAGAAAGCCAACAAAACCAAGTTGACTCTTGGAAATACTCATAAAAACTGATGGCTTCCAAACAAGATTTATCAGAAAGAAAAGAAAAAAATTGCCAATATGAAACAAAACTTATTAGAAATGAATGCAGAAGCAAATCCTAATTCTGATGAACCCTCTATTACAATAGCTGCATAGAGCAATTTAAAATACTGCTCTAAAGAAAAGTCCTCAAGCAGATTTCTAAGCATTTGGGAATAAAATAGATTGTAAAACTTCAGCACCTTTTACAATACAAACTGGTAGAAAGAAAACAAAACTATACAAGAAATGAGAATTGTGAACCAATATTACAAGCTTTACTCCAACAATATATAAAAAAAATAAGAATAGTATGACAAAGTAGAGTTTTGTTTGTTTGTTTGTTTGTTTTGCAGGGGCTTTTTTAGCATTTGGAAATGATTTATGATAATTAATAGCATTAAAAGTGCCTAAGGCCAATCGGATTGGCTCTGACCCCCTGGGGCTCAAAAGCAGGAAATGAGGTAAAGAGACACATAAGGAGACAAACAGTTCACAGGCTGACCATTTACTCACTATAATATTACTCCCCAGTTTTATAAAAATGTGGTATTGGTACTAGAAACAGTGCATTGGAACAAACGCAGAGCAAAGTAGGCCTAAAAAGATGAACTTTGTATTAGATGTATTTATTTAGGTTTGGGGGTCACACCCAGTGATGTCCCGATGTCCAATTGCTCTGGCCCCAACCTCTTTTCTTTTTCTTAAATTTTTATTCAATATCCATGAGGTAAACCATCACAGAGCTGTTCATGATTGGGCTTCAGTCACACAATGATCCAACACCTATCCCTCCACCAGTGCACACCTCCCACCACCAAGGCCCCCCTCCCCCCCCCTCCTTCACAGGATCCTCCGACATTCCCCTGCCCCAGCCTGCCTCTGTGGCAGGCACCCCTCCTCTCTCTCACCTTTTGTGCCTTTATGGTTTGCTGCCATAAGGATCCTTATTTGGCTCAGAGGACATGCACCCCATCATGTCAGAGGTATTCATACTGGACTGGTACCCAGGTTTGGAGTCATGAAATTCCGCTTCTGGGCTGGAGTGATAGCACAGTGGGTAGGGTGTTTGCCTTGCACACGGCCAACCCAAGTTTGATTCTTCCATCCCTCTCGGAGAGCCTGGCAAGCTACTGAGAGTATCTCGCCCGCACGGGAGAGCCTGGCAGCTCCCTGTGGCGTATTCGATATGCCAAAAACAGTAATAACAAGTCTCATAATGGAGATTTTACCGGTGCCCGCTCGAGCAAATCAATGAATAGTGGGAAGACAGTGCTAAAGTGCTACAGTGCTGTTCAGCCTTGTGCAGGTTCGAGCTTCACTGGGGCTTTTGATCTTTTTCAACATTTACTTATGGGTCTCTGAAGCAGGACCAGTGGAAGAGCTTATATGGTGGAGCTGGAATTAGTTCATGGGGGTGACTGCCAGTGCTTCCAGGAGTACAGGGAAGTTGGGGGAGGCAGCCCATCCCAACTCCGAGGAAGCCTGGAGATTTCAGTCGCAAAACTCGCATATCCAAATCTTCAACAGTCAGCCTCATTTCACTGAACATCCCAGCTCTACTCTGCGGACTAACTTGTTCCACATGCTCAGGTCCAAGGTGAATGTAACTTAGAAACAGACTGGACTGTGGGGTTTTGGTCTAATCTACTGCACAATGAATGGTTAGCAAGACCATTGTTTGCTTCAGAAGCAGGTGGGATGTATTTGTCACCAAAGAAATACAATGAAGCCTTTGCAATGATGGCGGGAACAACAGAGACACCCCCTGCCTTCCCATCCCCCCACTTTCCACTGGACAGAAAAGTAGAAGGAAGCAGAACATAGAGTCGAAGGGCGTTGACTGCCAGTTTGCACCCACAGAAACTGCAGAGCAAGAAACCACATCAGTATGACTCTGCTTAAGCTCCTAGAGCAAATTCAATTCTGGGACTTTTGAACCCGACACCAATACATTCCTTTGGGATCTGAAGTAGGGTTTCCATCAGTAAAAATTGTACAGGATCTTCTACGATCCTGCAACAGTTTAAAGGCCACAAAACCAAACTTTTCTTTGACTCAATATAGGTTTTATAATAAAGTATGTGTGGCCAGCTCTTTTGTTGGTTTTCGGACTGTAGGAAAGTCCAGCCTTACTCCTGTCCATCACCAGCACTAGCTCTAATCCATCCCTCATCTGGGAGGGAGAAGAGAGAGGAGAGGAGAGGAGGGAGAAGAATGGGAAAGCCTGCTGGTGTAGACGGGAAGGGAGGAGGGAGATGGGCCTTTGGCCTCTGTTTTGCATGGGGGCTTGTGGTATTAAATATTTGGTTTCAAGCTTTAGGTAAACTGGCATTCAACTTGTTTTTGACCTTTTATTGAACTCTAACGCTGATCCAAACTACAACTATTTACATATACATGGTAGAAAAGTTTCATTTTCAGGGCCAGAGAGATTGAGTGCTTGCTTTGCACACAGCTGACCTGGATTCAATCCTTATACCCCATATGGTCTCCGAAGCCCGCCATGAGTGACCCCTGAGCTCAGAACCAAGGAGTAAACTCTGAGAACCCCCTGTATGTTCCCCAGCGCCCCCACCCAAAAATTAAAATACTGAATGGATTCTAGCTGGGAAAACATTCCCTGGGGGTTAAAATTAAGCTGTGACTGGAACAGGGTATAGAGAGACTTTTCCTCCTCCGAAATTGGGCTTTTGAAGCCCTCCTCCCCAGAATTCAGGGGGTGGTGGGCTTGGGCCTTCTAGAGTAGAACAAGCACCTTTGTAAGAAGAGACAAGAGAGGTCATGACCTCCTGCGTCCTTCGAGCACGGCCAGGAAGCTGCTGTTTACAGGCAGGAAGAGAGGAGCTTAGTATGCAGGTACCACCTTGGTCTCAGCCTTTCTAGCCTCTGGTGCTGTGAGGAAGAACTGAGTAGATTGAGTCAGAAGCCACTTGCATCTCAAATCTCACTTTTTGAAAAATAGACATAAAGAGGTAGGAAAACGGTGCTTGCCCCGACTCAGCCCACATCCCACACCCTTGTGTACCCCACCCCCACCCCCATTGGTGAGCGTTTTATGCAGCTCTCTGGGTGACGTGTCTGTTTAGACCAGCTGGCCTAGATGACAAAAGGTGCTCTCAGGATAATCGACGATACTGCCACGGCTGACAACCATCTTGTCCCCAAGGAGCTGCGTCTCATCTCTTCTAATCCTTTCTTTCTGTGGCTGGTTTTCAATAATGCTTCTGACAAGATCCTGCTTTTCTCTTTCCCCTGTCAACTGTCAGCGAATAGGTCTTGGACATTATTTGTAGGGCTATAACCACATTACATGAGAAAAATAATGGGTCCTTTAAAAAGTCAAGAGAGACAACACCACGGCAAAGATGCGTCCTCACATGTCGCCAATTCGGATTCAATCCCTGGCATCCTATAAAGTCCCTGCACCTAACCAGGAGTGATCCCTGAGGGCAGAGTCTTCAGGACGTGACCCCCAATCACACAAACAGACAAACAAACAAAAAGCAGAAAAACAAAGTCAAGAGAGATGCCTGCAGATTGCCTAATCTAAATGAGTGCAGGCTGCAAAGAAAATTTCCCGAACTTCCACATGAAAAGACCCAACGGAATCTCTACTGAGCCGGTCTGGTGGCAGCCCCTGGACACACCTTCTTTCTAGTCTGGAAGCTGGTGAACATTTTTCATGTTCAACTGAAATTGTTTAGTTAATGGTCTAAGAATAACTCTCAGGGACATCCCTCAGCATAGCATGTTATTACTCCTTTCCAATGATGGAACTTGATGTATCCATTGTATTCTTACTGCATAAACCTATCCTTGGGATTAATCATTTCCCTTTTACCGGCTAGAAACTAGAGACGTTTAATGGATATACTACATCAGTCAATTTAATGAGTCTCATTGTCTAGGGATTGAAACATACTGATCATTCTTACGTTAAAATATAATCGACATTCATCCTTTTCCCAAGCTTCAAGTTTTCCAGATTTGTCCCTCTGGCCTGCTTGAAGAAGGAAAATTAGCTGAAGTTCCGTGTGTGTGTGTGTGTGTGTGTGTGTGTGTGTGTGTGTGTGTGTGTAGGACATATGTGTGTGTGTGTTTAGTTTTTAAGAGCTTGGGAATTTCATTGGACCTTCTGAGTGATGTGTTTTCTTCCATTTCTGAGTCAAATATTCTGCTATAACCAGGATCTTCTTCATAGAGGAGGATTCTGGCCTCTGTGAGCAATGGGGGTATTTCCAGCAGCTTTGAAGTTGGGGGTAAAAGGAGGGATGTTGGTGTGGCTGTTGCCATGGATCTGTCACCAGACCTGACAGAATAGGACAAGGCAGAACCCCATGTCCCTTCAGCATCTCAGCACCAGGCTAAAGACCTTTCCAGATTAAAGAGGGCCGTGCAGTTGCCAGATACGGTTTCAGGACATTAAATGTACTCAACTCTGAGCCTTAATTAATGATGCTTGTTTCTGTTTTGTTTTCAGTTGTTTGAGTTTATGAACTTCTTGGCTGAGAATGTCATCTTCTGTTACATGGGCATGGCACTGTTCACATTCCAGAATCACATCTTCAACACTCTTTTTATACTTGGAGCCTTTGTATCCTTTGAAATGCAGAACATGGGGTTTGTCTCTTTACTGATTATCTTGTGATGTTGTTAGAATAATTTACTCTGCTTGACTCTAAGACTCAAATTCAAGGCAGTGATGTGATTTCTAGTTGAAGGAAGAAAGCACCCTGGAAATTGGGGATTTATTAAATGCTTATGGTACAGGATATGTCATTTGCGAATAAAGGAGAGAGGAAAATTGCATTTTTGAATATAAAAAATACGTTTACAATTTATGAATCATTTACGTAGATTGTTCAAGCCATTCTTTCTGGAGAGATCTGTTTCATCTGCATTCCAATGTGTCTGAACACAACCAGGAGTATTACACTTTAGACATATTTTCGTACAAGATGATACAATCATTTTCCCAATGAGTATTTTGAGAATAGGATGATGAAGTTAAGACCGAGATAAGTTACATGGGAGTGCTTTTTGGAGGCTCTTTGGGGGCGGAGGGGAGCCTCTGAAACAGCACTGGGTTTCCTGGGGCGACTCCCAGCCACTCTTCACCAACCGTGCTGGTGGTTCAATGATGGGCTTGGACCCTGTGGTGTTGAGATTGCTTGCCCAGGCCACCCCAGGGTGCTCGACGTCTCTGAAACCACACATGGCAATGCCAGGAGTGGGGATACAAGTGAGAGGACAGATCAAATTGAGGTCCCCCTGACAGTAGCTCTTCTACCTCCAGGATGGGCTTGAGGCTTGCCCCTGGAAATGGGGTCTGTCCCCTGAGTGGGTGCTGGGACACTCGGCTATCCTCTAGGGCAATAAACAGCTCTTGTCCTTCCTACTTGGAAAATTGAGCTGATGTTTTTCAGGGTCACGGGCAGCAGAGAACCCGAACGGCCGGGAGGGCTGGCCCTTCTGAAAGCCTCTTTCCCAGACAAGCACCAGCTTTGGTTACCATCCCCCTCCCCATTTTCTCCCCCCCCCCCCCACACACACACACTCACACCTCATCTTTATTTCAGGGGATTGGGGGGCTACATACTCATGGATAACTCTTGGCAGGGCTCAGGGGGCCAAGTGGGGTCTCATGAGGATTGAATGTAAGTCGGCCCCATGCAAGGGAAGTTGCCTGCCGTGCTCTCTCTGGCATGGCTTCTACTCCATATCCTGATGGAATCTTAGCTTTCATAGCAAACCTGGACCTTATGTTTGAGTCCCTTGTCCCAAATCTTTCTGCCCCATTTAAGGACCAGCTTGACTAGAGAGGCTCCGAAGAACAAAGTCAGATAAGAGCCAGAAGAAGAGATGATCACGCCCATATTTGCATTGATTTTAACCCCAAAGGCTTCAGTTTTGGTTGAAAGCCTCTTAAGACAGCATCCATAGTGTAATTTGACAAGCAATTCCTCTCGAAATTAAATCTGCTGAGAGGAAAATCAAGCGGGGCTGCTCCATACAGGGCATAGACACTGATGGACAATAAGGGGTAATCACGAGCCTAAGGATGTTCATCCTGGGGCTGGAGCAATAGCACAGCAGGGAGGGCGGTTGCCTTACATGCGGCCGACTGTGGTTCGATCCCCAGCATCCCATAGGGTCCCCCGAGCACCATCAGGAATAATTCCTGAGTGCAGACCAGGAGTAACCCCTGAGCATTGCCGGGTGTGACCTCCCCCCCCCCCCCAAAAAAAACAGGATGTCCATGAAAAGAAGCTGCCATGGCCACTGAGCGATCCCCGCCACAGTAGAACTGGACTCAGAGTCCATCACTGTCCACACAAAGGCCATGAGAAAATGTCCAGTGTCAGAAAGAGCTGCGGGCTAACACTTTCAAACCAAGTTCTGTCCCAGGGAAGGCCAGGCCTCTCTCGTTCCCGGAAAAGAGTCAAAACTGAAAGATGAACTCTGGGGCTGGAGCAATAGCGCAGCAGCGAAGGCATTTGCCTAATACACGGCTAACCCAGGTTTGATTCCCAGCATCCCATATGATCTCCCAAGCACCGCCAGGAGTAATTCCTGGGTGCAGAACTAGGAGTAACCCCTGTGCATTGCCAGGTGTGACCCAAAAAAAAAGCAAAAAAAAAAAGATGAACTCTGAAAGCAAGTTGGACAGATGTGTATTGACACGGGCACCCTGTTTTCTGAGTCAGAGTGTAGAGTGACCCAAGAATAGGGTATTTGGAGCCCCGGGACTCAACCATCCTCTCAGCCATGTTTTCCTCAGCATCCCCTCGGCTGAACTCAGCTGGCCATCTTTGTGGCCCGGGCCTGCCACATCTACCCGCTCTCCTTCCTTCTGAACCTGGGCCGCAGGCAGAAGATCCCCTGGAACTTCCAGCACATGATGATGTTTGCAGGTAAGTGGTCGCATGGCTGGTGGTAGGGAACCCTCTTCCCCGCCACGCACAGCCCCTGAAAGCAGAGAAGCTGGAGGCCTGGTCAAGCAAGTCCGAACCCCTTAAGTCCCTTCTGCCCAGCACCACGCAACACTTCCCATGTTCTGAGCGATTGTGGGATTTCTCTTTCTGGAAGGGACTCTTGTTGGCAGGGCTCAAGGTAGACCAGTTGACGGAACCTGGCCTCATGGGCCTGGGGCTTGCCCCTGGTCAGCAGAAGGTCCGTCTCCATAGCTGAGCATCTGAAGGCTGATTTCATAGGAGCGTTGTCGGGCAAATGGTGTGAGCGGGGACACTGTGGATCATGGGCGCTCTCACACGGCCTCCCAGTGCTCATAGCCCAGCCAAGCCACTGTATCCCCCGTGCTCGGCTTCGCCACAGCCTCACTGTGGGATGTGAGAACTTCTAGGCTCGACGGTAACACCAGTCAGCCTCCTGCCCTCTAGAAAGTCCTGTTCTCTTTGCTGAAACCACGCCTGAAGGATTCTTTTTTCCAAAGAAAAGAGAACAAATGAAAGTGCTGGTCCTGACCTCCTCTTGGGTTATGGTTTCCCTCTCTGCTACCTAGTTTTCTGCTGTTGGCCTCCCCTGGTTCGAGACCTTTTCCCAATGTGCACTTATATCATGTGCCGAGGCGGCTTCCTCCACGTAGACAGAAAGAGAGAGAGACAGAAAGCCAAGAGAGCAAATGAGTAAATCCTGGGTAGGCAGGGGCTTGTGGAGACCTGAGATCAATTGTCATTGTATTGGCATTGCTTTTATTTCCCCTCTCTCTCCCTCTCTATCTTCCTGTCCCTCTTTTCCTCTCTTTCTCCCTCTCCCTCTCACTCCCTCCCTCTCACTCCCTCCCTCTCTCTCCCTCCTTCTCTCTCTCCCTCCCTCAGTCTCTCCCTCTTTCTCACTCTCACTCCCTCTCTCTCCCTCTCTTTCCCTCCCTCTCTCTCCCTCCCTCTCTCCCTCTTTCTCACTCTCCCTCCCTCTCACTCTCTCCTTCCCTCTCTCCCTCTACCCCTTTCTTCCTCTTTGTCTTCCTCCCTCTCTCCCTCCCCCCCCCCCTCCCTCTCTCTTCTAAGTTTAAAGAGAGGAAGAAAGACAACCTCATGTCTCAGTAGAGAGGAAATTGATTCTGGAGCTCAGGCCCCTTGACATATCACAGAGCATCTTCACCACTGAAGCTGTGAGGAGCAAAGCAGGCGGGTCCCCATGCAGTCCAACCTGACTCTGGACTATGCGCTCAGCATCCTGCCCCACCTGGGTCACAGCAGCTCCCCACCCCCGGCCCCTGCTCCTATTCCACACTCAGAGTGAGGAGATGTTGGGGTCTGCCCATGTGCAGGGTTGCCTTTTCCTGCCCCTCGGGAATGCTCTAGCCGCCCCTGTGGTGTTTCCTCGTGAATTCTGACCTGCCCTGCTGCACTCCCAACCTAGTGGCTTAAATACGTGAGCCAGGAAATCAAATTTAAAAGGTCAGCATGAGACCACATAAGCCAGAGGAGGAGGGAAAGAACCCGATCGAATGACACGCATCTTGGTTTTGCCGCCATGTGGAGACAGCTCCTCCTGACCCCAGGGGTGAACACCAGCCCCTTGGTGGACAAGGCTTCTTGATGCAGTCAGCGGTCATTAACACAGTTGTTAACGGTTCTGGCCCTCCTCTAAGGATGCCTGGGAGGCCTGTCAGATGGTCTGGTCATCCCATCTCCCTTGTCAGCAAAGTCAGTCTTTGCCCAGTTCTTGACGGTGCTCAGGGAGGTCTCTGGCTGACAGGGGGACATTTGAGTGGGTTTCTGGTTCTCTCTGTGGCGATCACCAGTTATTGGGTCTGCCCACGCAGACATGCTACCATGGGTGGGATTAGAGGGGACAGAGACCGGGCTGTGGGACCTGTTTCTGAGGAGGTGACAGCTTCGAGAGAGGTCGGTCCTGACCACATCCCTCACAGGGTGCCCAGCCCAGGCTCCCTGGGTGCAGGTGAAGCCAGCAGGGGCCCTGCAGGCAGAGCGGATTCCCAGGAGATTCACGAAGTGAACCCAGGCTCCCACAGGTTCTGGGTCTCGCCAAGGTCCCGGGAGGGGCCCGAATATGCCCTCTGGTTCTCAAAAGGCTCATGACAGACCTATTACATTATTTCATGACACTTTTCCTAAACCCGGTCCCTAAACTGTCAGGAGGTGGAAAAGGAGGACTGCTTCTCACTCCTCTCGGTGGGACCCTGGGTTGGTGAGCACCAAAACAAGAGCATGGAGCTGAGTGGAAGGTTTTGGATCAGTAGTTCCTGCGGATCTCATGCTATCTCTGTGCTCCCATCCTCCCATGGGCCCCTTCCTCCACCTTTAGCTGTAAGACACACAGTGAAGGTGGCATCTTTTGTTTTGTTCGTTTGTTTGTTTGTTTGTTTATTCGTTTTGCTTTTTGCTTTTTGGGTCATATCCAGAGATGCTCAGGGGTTACTCCTGGCTCCGCACTCAGGAATCAGTCCTGGCAGTGCTAGAGGACCATTTGGGATGCTGGGGATCGAACTTGGGTAGGCCATGTGCAAGGCAAACGCCCTATCCGCTGTACTATTGTTCCAGCCCCCACAGTGAAGGGCTTGCTAGAAGAACCCCCCAAATTTCACGGTCCAGGTTACAGATTAATAACCTGCAGACACTAAACCTGGGAGCTAAGAATGAGGAAAGGAGTTGCACTTCTCTGCCGGGAGAGGGTTTGGGGAGAGATAAATTCTGGTCCCGGTAGTGACGCTGCCGTTCTGAGCTTCCTGCTGCCCAAGTTCATCCTGACCAGTCTTAAGACCTTAACATTCAAGAGCAGCAGCTGGTAGGTGCCACTGGGGCATGTGACTCCCACGCCAGGCCCTGGGAGAAATGCAGAGCCCCCAGAGCTGCCCCTCCTTCCCTACCCGCTGCCAGCTCCGAGTGCCTGCAGCGAGCTGCCCACCCCGCACTCACCTCCCCTGAAACCCCAGAGGAGAGCTCCATGGTTTGGACTGAGGGAGGAGATGTGCTGCCCACAAATTCGCTTATGCATTGATATGGCGTCTCTTCCCAACATCAGGCCTCTTGTTTTCGTCCAAACCCACGTACTGCAATTTTTATTTAATTTAAAAACAAGCCAGAGCTGGGAGTTGCTGGAAGGAGGGGAGATGCCGAGACCCACTGAGTCCTGGCAACCTTCCTGGACCCGCACAGATGCCAAAGGCCCCTCTGGGCTCCAGAGCCACCCTGCAGGGCCACACTGCAGAGCTCAGCTTCCAGAAGCCTCTGGAAGCACCTGGAGACCACAGCAGGCCAAGGGACAGACTTGTCCAATGTGTCCGTTTCTGCTGCTCTTTGAAGAGATGTGGCAGGCCAGGCATGCTCAGTCCCAGGCCCAGAAAGTGCGTGGACCAGGAAAACGCAACTGCAGTGCCCAGGAGCAATAAAGGCCCTCACCCAGGAGCACCCAAGGCCAGCGTAGTCACGCTCTGCTGCTCAGGTTTTTCACTTGTCCGTTACCCACTGGTGCTCAGCACCAAGGGATTTAGAGAAAGGTGTCAAGGAAAAACCTGCTATAGCACAGCGGGTAGGGCATTTGCCTTGCACACGGCTGATCTGGGTTCGATTCCCAACATCCCATATGGTCCCCTGAGCACCGCCAGGAGTAACTCCTGAGTGCATGAGCCAGGAGTGATCGCCGTGCATCACCAGGTGTGAGCCAAAAAGCAATAATAATAATAATAATAATAATAATCACGGATCACAGTCCTCCCGTTGTTCATCGATTTGCTTGAGCAGGCCCAGTAATGTTTCCATCATGAGACTTCTTGTTACTGTGTTTGGCATATCGAATACATCACGGGTAACTTGCTAGGCTCTGCCGTGCAGGCGAGATACTCTCAGTAGCTTGCCGGGCTCTCCGAGAGGGGCGGAGGAATCGAACTCAGGTCGGCCATGTTGGCTGCATGCAAGACAAACACCCTACCCCTGTGCTATGAGCTCTGCACCCAATAATAATAATAATAATAATAATAATAATAATAATACCATTAGCATGCCCCCCTCCACTCCTCCCGCCATCAACCCCCCTGCCGAGGGCAGCTAAGCTGTTCCAGTTTTAGGGAAGCTGCATCCCAAGCCTTAGAGCCACATGTTCCAATAAAGCTGGCTTTTCCTGGACGCTTGGGGGAGATTCTCTCAGGTTGTGGTCAGTTGGAACTTGACCCCAGAGAGACCTCTGAGAGCTGGTGCCCAGCCAGAGACAGGGAGAGCGCAGACGGGATCGGTGAAAGAGGACCGGCATCAGGGCCTGGGGTTCACGGACTACCGAGGCCTCGGCATCCACCACCAATGGCCAGGTAAAGGGGACAATTCCGTTGAGGGGAATGCGGTCCTCAGGACATCAGCCTGGGGTTCTTGGGGGCTCCTTAGAAACAAGGAACCAAGCTCTACACTGGAGCAAGCAGGGGTTGGTGTGCGAGAGGCTCCTGGCACAGTGCTCGCCCTCTGACATCCGTCCTAACTCACATCCTCTCCCTGCCTTGCTCTGTTTGCCTGGACTCCCAGACGCCGAGCTCACCACTTATTCTCCACGCACTGTCCCTCAGCAGGGCACTGCTGGCCCCATCACTGCATCTATTGCAGTCCCTGCAGGATGCTGGGGCTCTGACCTCACTGATCTTCCTCTTCACCCACATGGGGCCTGTGCCCACAGCCCTTCCCACACCGGCCCACCGGCACTTCCACTGTGTCCTTGTACCCTTCTGGTCTGGGGGCAAAGATCACTTCCTCTGGGGAGGCTTGGTAACCCGGGCAGTCTGGGTTAGTGTTCAGTCTCTGTTGGCATTTCCATCTTTCCATGCTCTCTGCAGTGTCCTGATTTCCTGTCTGCCAGCCCAGACGCTCTCTGGAAAGGAGCCTTGGAAAGCCAGATCTGTTGGCTCACTTTGGGCTCAACACCCATCACCCCACTGCAACGGGAGAGC